AAGTTCCAGCCCGGCAGGTGAGGCCTTCTCAGGATGATGAGGAAAAGCCTTCTAGATGAAGGGCAGCGGGGCTGTGCAACCAGGCAGGAGGACAGAAGACCCCAGCAGTATCTTCTCCATGGGGGAAAATGGAAATAGACTCAGTCTTTGGTGTTTATATTGTATTTTAGTTCTTTTTGAGAGTTTAGTAGTGTATTAGCAGTAAGTGCAGAGGAACCTATGCAATGAAAAAAGATACAAAAGCATAGTGAAATTCATAACTCGATTTTGAATCTTTTCACAGTTATTGTAAAAATGGAATGTGGATTTAATTTAAAAGGTGTTATAAACTCTTTTAGGAGATGATAGAAGTGTTTGGTGTACATGTCGATAGATGGGTAAGGGTCATATCTTTAACTCCCAAATACAGAAAATATAAATATAAATATAAATATACAGTTTTTAACATGCATATAATATATATGAATAACACTGAAATACTATGTATATATATCTTAATGAGCAAGACATGGTATAAGCAGGTATAAGCATAACTTCTTAAAATACCAAGCTAAGTAGCAGAGAGTTCCTTCTGAGAAATCAGGTGAAGAAGGTATGTATGGTTAGAAGATTATTGTTTTATAATGAGCCTTCGGGTAGTCTTTGACTTCTAAAACTTTGTACATGTATTATTTTGATTAAAAATTAAAACCTATGTGCACACAAAAATGGATACACAAATGTTTATATCAGTGTTATTCATTCTGTTCAAAAAATAGAAGCCATCCAAGTGGCCATCAGTTGATGAACAGGTAGTAAAATGAGGTATATTCTCATACAGTGGAAAATATTCCTCTATAAAAAGAAATGAAATACTGACACCTGCTATAACGTGGAGGGCCCTTGAAAACAACTGAGTGAAAGAGACCAACCACAAAGGACTGTGGACTGCTTGATTCCATTTGGATGAAATGCCCAGAACAGGCAAATCTATAGATACAGAAAATAAACTAATGGAAAATAGGCGAGGGGAGTAAAACCAATGGAAAATGGGAGAGAGGAGTAAGAAGGGAGTAATTGCTAATGGGTACAGGGTTTCTTTCTGTGTTCTGAAGTCATACTCTTTTAATATTGCTAGACACTACTGAATCGTACACTTTCAAAGAGTGACTTTTATGACATGGAAATTTTAATAAAGCTGTTACTTAAAACAAAAGTATCTAATTCATATGGCTGTTGTGAGGATTGAGTGAAATAATGTATATGAAGGGTCTAGTCCAGAGCCTGGTGTAATAATTAAAATGTATTTGGCGGGCACTAAGCTGTCTGCATACAGCAATTTGCTTAGCTTTCACAACAACTGTATAAAACATACTGTTGTTATCCCATCCTAGATGAGGGATCTGAGGCCAGTGACATTGAATAATCTGCCCAAGGTGGCTGGCCTAACTCCTTTACCAGCCACCCCACAATGGTTCCTTGGCCTGTCTCCACGGCCCCATACCTGGGTTAGTGCTGTGTGTTCCCCCATGCACTCTGTTCCTCATCTGTTGTGATTTTGAGCAGCTACATTTTCCTCATTTTTTTACACACCTGTGGTCTCAACTATAGTGGACATTCTACAAAGCCAGGGACGGTGCATATGTCTGTTGTCATCATTCCCTGCCCATCGAATGTTGGAGGTAGTAGGGTGAAGCAAAAGTTCTCCCTTCCTGCACATCCCAGGAGTGCAAGAAGAGCAAGTGGGGAGAGGATCAGAGACTAAGGGCACTAGAAAAACATGAGGTCATTGGTGGGACAGGGTCTCATAGGAAATGGAAGATGGAAGTAAGACTGCAAGGAAGAGCTATTGACTTTGGGAAGAAGGAGCCCTCTTCCTCTAAGAGAGGAGAGGAGAGGAGATGGAGTGCAGAGGTGGATAGAAAAGGATGCTCCTGCTGGAGGACTTGGACTATTGCAATGGTTAGGGGGAAGGGGTAGCTGAGGAATCTTGTGCCAGGGAAGTTTATAGGTGGATGGATTGGGAGATTGAACCGAAGTGTTTAGAATAGGTTCACAACCTTTTCTGGTCCAATTTCTTTAATAATATGATTAGTAATAGGATGAGCCTTTTTGCTAAAAAGTACATGTATGCAACATTTTGCATATCATTGTAGGAGTCTGGGCACCCCACATTGGAAATACCTTCCCCCAGGAATTACTAAAATTGAACAAAAGTATTTCTGAGAAATAATTTGAAGCCAGGCAGTTTAAATGTACAGCATTCCAAGTTTCTGCGATTGCTTCAGCAGCTTTCAAGGGTGGAGAGCATCAGGTGACATGGTTTTAGGAACTGAGGCGGGGGGCCATCAGAGCAAGCCTGGGAGTAATAACATAGCAGGGCGGGGGATAGCGGGAAGGCAGAGCAGGGGCCAGTGAAGAAGTGGAAGAGGTAGCAGCAGAGACATTGCAGGCCTGGGGTGCAGCAAGGTCCTCTCTCGGTACAGGCTATACGGGAGCGCATTGTCTGTAGAGAACCTAAATGCAATAATAAAACCAGAAGTTAATCTTGTTTCTGTTACGATGCAAGAGCTATTTTAAACACGAACAATGATAAATATTCCTTTCTGAAAATATTTGGGTCTAAGCTTTAAACAGTTGCCTGCACCTGGGCTTCATACCAAATGAGAGATAGATAAGAGATTGAGAGCTCAGGGTGGAACTTGAAGTGGTGAAGTCCGGATGTGGCTCATGGGTGATGTGTGGCTGCTGTGGAGTCAGAGCTGAGCTGATGCTACAGTAGAAAAATCCCCTTCTTGACAGGGAGGTGACAAGAAGCATGCAGCTCGATGGCTTTCGGTGTCTACAATCTAAATGTCATCTGCAGTCCTAAATTCTTTCCTTTTACTTGAACCAATTGCTAGTCTTGACTAGGCATGTTTCACTGTCTTGACATGTCAATTGCGCTGTTTTGTTTTGTTTTGTTTTTGGTACCGGGGATCGAACTCAGGATCTTGCACTTGTCAGGTAACCACTGCGCCACTGGGCTACGTCCCGGGCCCTATCTTCACATATCAGTTGTGCTCAGATCTCTACCGTTCCCAGCCCTCTATTCTAGATGGTATTTATTTACTGACATGTTTTTCTCCCCATTGGACATGGTGTTCCCTGAGATCAGTGAGTGTGTCTCACCTCTCTCTCAATCACCAGTTCTGACAGGCACACACACACTTGTGGCACCCGTGCACAAATATGTCTTGCTTTTCTTTATAGATTTCTTGAGTCTCACATGACCAGTAGGTACAGAATGCTGCTGCTTTCCTTCTCCCAGGTGAATGAAATGCTTATCTGTTCCCCTTTATGAAGCATGGCTTGGATCTTCATTCCATCCTAAAACTACAGGATGTGGAGCCAGATGAGGGAGGTCCAGTTACACACATTTCACCCCTACACCCGCTGGCGCACCATCTATGGGGTCCTCTGCGGGGACCTGAGTGGAGGCTGTTTCCACCTGACTAGAAACTACCAGCTTTTTGCTGCTTTATATTGGGATCAGCCCCACTGCGTGGATGTTTCCTGATATCCGGAAAAGGATTTCAGTCCCTCCTAACTCCTCTCTGCAACATATTAATTGGGTATAATCAGTCATTCAAGGAGAAACCCACTCATCTCCTCATTCTCTGCTCTCCTCTATCTAGAACTGTTTACAGCCTGAATCTCTTCCATAGCTTCCCATGTTCTGACCACCCTCTTCTCCAGATGGGCTCTATTGCTTCTGCTAAAGTCCCCATGCCACTGGCTGATGAGAGAGATAAGCCACAACAGTTTGGTTTAACATTTGAGGTCAGAAGCAGGAGCTTTCTAGAGGATAAATAAAAGTACAGGAAGTATAGGGTAGCCCCTCAAATACAATACTGGCCGGGGATATAGCTCAGGGGCTTAAGCGCTTGCCTGGCAAGCCTAAGGTCATGAGTTCAATTCCCAGTACCAAAACAAACAAAATACAATACTGCTACCTCTTAACACCATGACCCTCAACAAACATGGATGCCTATAGAGAATCCTCGACTCACCATCGGAGCTGGGAGCCCAGCCACATAGTGTACACTCATTGCTAAACAGCAGAGTTACCCCGGGAATGACACATCTCCAGCAGTGCAGAGACTACATAATACTCAGTGAACATAATTCAGGGAGACACACAATCTTCATAACCATTCTGAGCACTTGAGGATTTTCCATTTAAAGATAGTTTTCTTTCAAGATAAGTATCTGGGGTTTGGACATAGAATGGAGCTCCCCTTCTCCCGTGATAATTTTACAAAATGTGCATTCAAAAAAATCTGGTCTGTATGAAGGAACTGAGGTATGTACTTAACAACCGCAGCTGCCAGTGTGATCTGCTGTTGTTTATAGGAAACATCTAAATAATTGAAATCTTTAATTGGGTTAAAGAGATCCTTAGCACATAGGTATGCTATAAATAAAAGAATGAGTAAATAATATAGTAACCTTTCTTTTCAGTGCCCTCTCTTAGAAAGATCATTTCATTTTGTGTGCACCATTAGGATCCTGGTTAGAGGACTTAAGAGGGGAGCTTGGTATAGGATGGGCTGGGGCTCTCCCAAAGAAGTCCCTTTTGGTTTGTCTCAAGTGTACAGTTACCCTTTTTCTTGGCTTTTCCACTAAAAATGAATAATTGCTTATCTGTGCTCTAAGTAGGTAAGCACCTGGGCTTTGCTTTTGCAATGAGAGTCAGACAAAGGAGAGTCAAGATAGCAGGCTGACCTTCCCTCGCTATCTGAGATCAGAAAGGTTTAAGTAGCCCAGGGCCTACTTAGAGTCAGCCGCAAGGGAAAGGCAGGAGAGGAGGTAGAAAAATGCTTAAGAGGAAGTGGTAAGAGGCATCTGAATTTCAGTGTGACCTATTCTGTCAGGTGATTTTTTTAGGGGGAGGGGACATGAGAAAACAAAGTTAAGTAAAATGTCCTTATAAAGACAAAATCTATTTCTTTCCTGGCTGATGATTTGTCATTCTAGTCACTTCCTGCCTTGTGACCACACACTTGGGCTTGACAAAGCTGTTCTGCAGATCAGAAAGAAGGGGATTTCTGGTCGCACACCAGTACAACCAAGGACAGTTTCCACAAGGTAAATTTTCTTCATGTCTTTTTATCCTTGCTAAATGCTTGTGATGGTGTTTGCCTGTTTCTGTGGATTGTGGATCTTACTGTCAGGGAACAGGAGCTAGGAAGGAGTACCTGTCACCCGAACCCCTGGCTGCCTCTGAGGACCAGGAAATGTGCAGCCACCTTGTGTAAACTCCCTAGGTGGGGACCCGGGGCTGACTGGGTTAAGTCATTCTCAAGTTAATCAGTTATCACTCACCCAAAACTATGGGATTTTCTCCCCTTTTTTAATCAAACTATGTTCTGATTTATGTTCCTTGCTTTATTTCAGGGAGGCTGCTTACTGTGATTTTTATCTACTCTAAAATGTTCAGGAAAGTGCATATTGATCATTTAGACTGCACTGCTCATTGGGGGTAGTTTAATTCTAGCTGCTGTGTTTGTTTTTCTGAAAAACTTTATAGTCCTTTAATGGCCATGTTAACATCTCAGGCCTTATATTATTGAATGTGACACTGATTATTGGAGTGATTTGTCGCCAGGGTTTTTAATGAGTGTGCTTGATAACTACACAAAATTAGAAGTCTCCACCATTCTTTTCAAAAAAGAAAGTTGGATTGCTCAATTATACCATTTTTGTAGGATTATCTGAATTATTTGATAATACTCATGGCTGTATAGATGAATACTCAGTTAAATTCTGGAAGAAAGCCTTCTGTCTAGAATAGAATTTATTATAAAGTTGATGTGAGATTTTTATTCTAGAAACCTTGCTGAAACAGACTTTGAATCTTGTAGTATCAACTTTAATTATCACTATCAAAAATACTAAGAACCATTGACAGATGATAAATATAAAAATTATTCAGACTGGAAATTTATACATTAATCAGCATACTTGTCAAAACACAGTGTTTCTTAATCAAGTATCAGCAACTTGTTTTCTAAACTAGTCCTCAGGACAACTTTTTGAAAAACTCAATAAGCAAGAAAGGTGACTTATTGATACATATCTTGATTTATTTTTATAATAAATTATAATTGGTTTTTGTTAGGTAAGATTGTTTAAAGACATATTTGAAACTGCAGGCATATTTGCGTGGAATTAGCAATCATCCAGTAGTGTGAATTTGTGGAAGTTGCAAAATGTGACCGTCAATACTGTTCTGTAGCTCTTACTGGAAGAGTTTCACATTAACAAAAATGTGGGATCTGGGAAAGAAGAGATTTAACCCTAAACAAGACTATAAAAAATGCTGTCTTATTTCAGTAGAAATAGTAATGAATACGTAATAAATTAGGATGTTAAGAAAGGTATTTCTTAACTTTAGGAAAGAGTAAAGTGTTAATTTAAGTCAAATTTAGATTGCTAAAGCATCCATCTGGGAGGTAATAATGCATCCAGTCTCTCTATCCCCATTTACTCGCATCCTGTTGGGGAGGAAACTCCTGGGTCTGATCCTTGAAGGGGTGCTGCTTTGCGGGGGAACGAACTGGTGCTCAGGAGGATGTCTTGTCAGTCATCACAGGGATGCTTTGTAGCATTTAAAGTTTTATCTCCTTTGTCAATTATGCTGTGAAAAAATCAGCAATGAGAGAAATAATTGTGGTGTTATAATTTTATTTATAATTCTATCTTTGAACCTTTTGGAGAGGGACAGTCAAGAAGTTAGTCTCATTCAGATATACAGATTTAAATATGGATGGGAAAAGGACTCTGTGAATGCCAAAATCTGCAAATGCTCAAACCTCTTATATAAAATGGCACAGTGTTTGCATAGAACGTGAACACATCTTTCTGTAAAATTTAAATCATCTCTCAATTACCTAATGCAATGTGAATGCTGTGTACATCGCTGTTATGATGTATAGTCTAGGGGATAATGATGAGAGAAATCTGTACAAGTTTGGTGAAGATACAGTATTTGTTCAGAAGAATTTTTGTCTAAAGTAGATCACATCTATAGGTGCAGACCCTGTGTATATGGAAGGCTGGCTGAATTAATAACACTGCATACTACTTAGGATGTGTAGCACTCTTAGTGCAGAGCCTCACTGAATCCTTTCAACTATGTTTCCAGGGCAGAAGTGAGTTTAGGGTTCCAAGGGGCTGTCCCAAGGTCGTGGGCAGTCAGATGGTCAGGGTGGGGCAGAAGATGGCCAGGATTCCAGGTCCTGAGCCGGCTGTGTCAGTCACCAGAGCCTCCCTGGGGCAGCATGCTTGGCCCCAGGAGAAGACAGTAAACAGACTTTCAGGCTGACCAAAGCTATCTTGCACTCATCGTTCTGAAAGAGAACGAGAGACAGAAAGAGAGAGTGAAAGAAAAAGAAATTTGCAGTTTTATTTTTAAAGATATTGTTGAAGATTTTGTGTAATAGAATGAAGCATTTTATTTTAATAAATGTACAATTTTACCAAAATATTTTGTACCTCCACAAATTTGCTGTAACCCACTTCCCCTACCCTATTTCTTGTCACTTCCTTCTGCTTTAGCCTTCCCATCCTCTTCCCCGCCCCCTCACTTACCCGTATTCTAGGTGCACCAGACCACAAGCCACCAAAAAGTTCTATGCTCTTTCACTCCTTTTCGTTCCAACTGTTTCTTTCAATTGCTTTTTTTTTTATCTTTTTGAGACAGGGTCTCATTATGCTGTTCAGGCTCTCCTTGAGCTCACTTTGTAGCCCACGCTGATCTCAAACTCGCAACGGTCCTCCTGCCTCAGCCTCCCAAGTGCTGGGATTACAGGCAAGGGCCACTATGCCCAGTATGCTTTTGTTCTTTATTGGGAAGACTTCTCATCATTTTTCAAGGCTGACTTCAAGAAACATGACCCTTTAGAGGCCTTTTTCCTACTTTCCTTAGCCCTGTTCATGGTTGTATAAGTGCATGTGTTTTTCCTTAATGCTTGTATTTTAGAGCAAATACAGCATTTGGTTGTATTGTCTTGGTTTTCAGTCCTTATTTGCCGATACCTGAGCCTCTGCATTTTTTCTGGCACCTGGTAGGTGCTAACAGTATTTATTGAAATGAACATTTGTCACAAATATTGTTTAGCAGTTGGGTACCTGTGTGTGGAAATCTTCATATTTACTGGGCTACCACAGTGTTTGCCAAAAAGGAAGACAGAGCAATAATTTAATGTTCTGGATCTGTTATGCTTCATCTTTGACAAAGCCCTATTCTTCAACTTAGCCTTGAAGGACCAAAAGGATATCGACCTCAGGAAGTCATATAGTGACCTTGGTATACAGGAAAGATCATAATCTTATCATTTTAGTCTAAAAACATTCATTGACCTAAAAGGTAGGTCTCCTTCCCCAAACTGTGTTCCCAATAATAGACTTCTTTAATGACAAAGAACACCATAACAGATAAAGATAAGTAACTTTTACTTAGCTGTCATCTTCTTCTTACCTGAGGAGTATAGGCTTCCCTGTGTGCTCAGGAGAGGCAGGAAACAAATTTTTAAGCCAGTTAGGTAAAACAAAATAGGACATTTACTCATAGTATTATAGAGTGAAGCATTAGCTGTTAGGACTAATAGCACCTTTTATAGCCTAATAACATTGTTCAGTTACCTCCCTGGGATATTTTTTCCTGGTAGTTTCCCACCTCACTGATGCCCTGTGAAATCACATGACTCCATCTGCATGTTGAGCATTACAGAAGTAACATTTAGAATTCGAGTCTATCAAAACATAAAATTGGTCATTGTCAGCAGATTTGAAGAGTTTCAAGTGTCCCTGTTTTGCCAGGTGACAAGGTACTTTTCAAATCAGAAGTGTTAATGTTTTGCACAGTTTTCACTTGGAAGTTGTGAGACATTCGCTCTTGGTTAGATGTTGTCTCCTAAGGCCATTTCCATCCAGCTACTGAGCCCGCATTTCTCTCCAGTTGGCATCTCCCTGTTCCTTTCCTCAGTTCCCTCTTAGTTCCCCTTCCCGTCCCGTCCTACTGACTCTTCCTGTTGTTTTTGTTTGTCAGTTTCAATAGTTACATCAGTCATCCCAGCAATTGCATCACTCCTCCATCTTGTAAGATACTGCACGCAGTAGGAGAGGAGTTTCAATTTTTCACCCTGGTAGTAATGGCTACTACTTAGTACTCACCTTGAATGGGGCAGTTTTCTAAGTGCTGTAACCTAAAGCATTTAGTCATCACAATAATCCCGTGAAGTAGGTACTCGTATCATCTACATGTTTGAAGATGAGTTCATTCATTCATTTTCTATGGTTGGATCAATATTATATAGACTATCAAATACCAGGGTTGCCTCCTGATACAAACAGACAATAATCCATGGTTTATATGTGTGCCTAAGCTCTCAAGTTGAGCTCAAGTAATCATGATTTTCCACAAAGAAGTATCTCCATATTGTAATTGCTTTTATGAAATATACTATTCTGTGTTATCGTCATCATCACCCACTCAGCCCTTCTGTACATTTCTGTCTTAGTCACTCACTCATCACTGAGACACCATACCCAACGCCCACAGTGTAAGGGAGAAAAGGTTTACTGTGGCTCACAGTTTGTAGATGTTTCAGTCCATATTCTGCTGGCAGGATGGCAGAGGGGCAGAGTAGAGGTGAGCTGCTCCTGGCGTGGCATCTGAAGGCAGAGAGAATGAAGGAGGGAGCCAAGGGCAGGCAGACCCTTCCAGGCCATCTGCCGTGACCCACCTTTTCTAACCCAGCTCTGCCTCTCAGCATCACCTTTAGCTATAAACTCAGCGGTGGACTAATGCACGGATGAGCATCACACTCCCACGATGCAACCACCTCCCAAAGGCCCAGCCATGAGCTTACGAGGCTTCTAGATGTGGGGGCACATCTAGATATAAGTCATAACAACTTGATTACTTGATTTTTACCAACTTACAGACCTCTGCATATCCACCCCCCAAAACTTTAAAAAATTCTTAGCCTTAGAAGTTTAGAATCATTTTATCAAGTGGCATTTACATTTTCTAGTCTGTTATGACTGATAGTCATGAATAAATTTAGTATTGTACCCAAGTA